ATGCTTATTTGTGGCCAGTGGGTTTGCTGCATTAAACAGGCACTACTTCATTAAATGAAGCAGGGGACCTTGTTGTCACGTGATGATTCACATTTAATGCCTCTGGCCGTGATTTCGTTCAGCCTCGGCCTCGGCCTGCACTCGAGGCCGAGATGATCATGCCTGTGCATTCTTCTTTTGTGTTCAGGAAGGCAAAGCACCCTGTTGAAACGCTGCGTTCCAGTTTTACAAGCAAATGCCAGGGCCGAGAAAAGGGGCTCCGTCGGCCGGCTCATGGCCGTGATTTATTAGGCACAAACAGCTGAAGGCGAGGAAATGATCGGCCGGTATGCTGAAGCCGTCACGAGGATGGCCGAAGGGAGCTCGCTTGAGCAGGATCTGGAGGTGATCAAAGAACAAGTTCAACCTACAATGGCCCGATTGAAAGAGAATGACCTCGTTGTCCAACGAGGGATTGAAGAGCTTGCGCAGGTTGAGGCCCAGATTGCCGAACTTCAGGCACGCCGAGATCTCAAAATCTAGCGCCGAGACGGCGCGGTCGCAACCAGGAACGAGCTGAAATCTTCGGCCAAGCGAATCCTCAAGGCCGCGATCGAGATGAAGAAGGCCCTGCCCGAGCGGAAGTTGATCCGAGCGAGGTGGCAGGCGGACATTGATGGTGGGGACATCGCTTGGAGAAGGATCACCTGCCTGATCTGGGGGATGTTTAGTGAAGGGGTCTAGGCAGGCGATTTCTTCCTTTTTTCTTTTGGGATGTAATAAATAACCACATACATTTTACTTTATATGTATTTTTGTATAGTTTCTGTACTTTTCGATCGGCCACGACTGGTCGTTCATCTTTATTGTAAAGAAACTCCTTTAAACTAATTATAAGGCTAGTCTTTTTCCAAAAAATCAAACGTATGCTTCTTGCCTTATGTTGACCGCACCGCTTGTTTAATTCCTTCGCTTACCTCCCTCTTTTTTACTTTTTGACCTTTTTGTCGTAGGTCCTCGGCGCCATTTCCTTTTGAACTTGCGCCGAGTTGTAAGCGTCGAGTTTCATCTGTTTTGACCTCTCTGAACTCCTGGGCATCATTCGCGAGCAGTCCTCCTTCTTTCTGCCGTGTTGCTTGACATCTCGAAGAAATCGAACCGTTAACCGTGAACAGTGAAAATAAACAGTGCGACCGGTCGTGAACAGTGATTGGCGACCGGTCGTATGAACAGGGCGACCGGTCGTTTTAGTACAGAGTCGAAACTCTGTTTTTCAGTTTCGACCTCTGTCCAGTTTTTGACTTATAACTTTCCAACCGTTTGTCCAAAATTCACGTTCTTTATACGGTTGGATTCAGCACACAAAAACGAAGAACACATCGCGGACCAAAAGTCCAAAACAGTTACGAAAATAAACAGAATTCAGTAAACAAGACACACAACGTATCAAACACACAACTCACACACACATTGGGGGGGGG